CCAATGAGTGGGATGGGGATGCCTTCAATGCTTCCCAGGGGTTCATACTGATCTCTGGACAGATCTAGTGTACATTTAACATGGAATGCCTATGCGGTAAAGCTCACATTGCCGAGCGTCTCCACTTGCATTCAAGGTGTATTGGATTTCTTTATAGTGGATCATAAAATTGAAGTGCTTCTTCCCCAAAATCTGATGGAGCTGTGAGCCTGACATTAACCTTTCGAGTCTCGCATCCCAGTCCTCTCTTACTCTCTGACAAATTTTAACAGATGTGGTTATTTGAAGTATAGATTTATTTTAGCACGACCATTATAAGTTTCTGGTTCTGTTAATTGGTAGAGTGTAGAACGACTAGAATACTAGATGCATTCCATTAGGGGGTAGAAAGTTTTGTACACTTTTTCCCCCTCAAAGTAGAACAGTTTCTTCCATATTTCAAATTTCAAGTTTATGATAGCTGTTTCAATGGAGATTGATTTATAGTAGTAAATAAAATTAACCTTCGCTGCTGCAAATGACTACTAAGTTGTTCAAAAATTAAAAAAAAGGATACTTAAGATCTACAAATGCTCGTTTTTAGACACTCTTTTGAACATGTCCCGTGGCTTTTATTATTAAGAATATTTTAAAATTCAAGAGTTTGGTCTTCTTTTTTTTTAATAAGAAATTGGTAAATAATACTCCTATCAAAATTTAAAATTATTTAAAATTATATTTCATAATTTAATATAGTAGAGTTTGATTGGTTTAATCATTATTAATTTAAATTTTTTAATTTAAGTAAATATCTAAAAATTTAAACTTTTACTATGTAAAATAAGTGTAAGAAAAAAATATACACACACACAAATCGTACCCTTAACAGTAAACTGTCCCCTAAGGACGTCAGAGGAACTTGATAAGTGAAAAATTGCTGTTGTTATAAAATTAATAGTTAAATATTTCAAGAAAAACACTTTTTTATAATAAAAGTTTAATATTTTATAATTTACGTTGTATTAAAATTAAAATTTAAAAAGATTGTTAATATAAAAAAGTTTATATTTAATAATATTATACCATTTAAATTGTAAATTATTTTTTTTAACAATAAACTCAGGACTACGGGACAACCTCTTTCGTAAACCTGGATAGTACAAAACAATCCAACCAGCCAAACGCCCCAAAAGTAGCAAAATGCGCGTAAACATCACGCTTCTTGCGCCTCCATTAAAATCTCCACTGTACACGGTACAGTGGTACACCCAAACAAAACGACCCCTCTGGATAAAATAAAACCCTAAACCTCACAGTCCATACCATACACAATCGCTCAAGCGGAAAGCGATAATGGCAAGCACAGAACCAAATTACGAGCACAAGGAGGACGAGGAGGCGCATGCCGCTGAGGACGAGGACACTGGTGCTCAGGTTGCCCCCATCGTCAAGCTCGAAGAGGTCACCGTCTCCACCGGCGAGGAGAATGAAGATCCGATCGTCGACATGTATGTGTTCTTTTCTTTTCTTTTTTTCTAATTGGTTGTCAGTTTTTATATCTGAATTTTATGATATGAGACCTGATATTTTCCTGTTTGTAGGAAATCAAAGCTTTATCGTTTCGACAAGGATGGGAATCAGTGGAAGGAAAGAGGCGCCGGGACTGTGAAGCTGTTGAAGCACAGAGAGACCGGCAAGGTTCGCCTCCTCATGAGGCAATCCAAGACGCTCAAGATCTGTGCAAATCATCTTGGTTCGTTCGTTATAGTTTTGTTGTTTCAGGCTGTGATATCTTTTTATTTTGTGCCTTTTTCTTGATATAAGTTTGTGTGTGTTTGCAGTCCTGTCAACTATGTCAGTGCAGGAGCATGCAGGGAACGATAAGTCATGCGTGTGGCACGCAACTGACTTTGCCGATGGTGAATTGAAGGATGAACTTTTCTGCATTCGTTTTGCATCAGTCGAAAGTGAGTATTTTAGCTTAACTTGTTTTTGTTAGTTTTTCTGCAAAGGAAATTAAATTCATGTTCTTCGTTTCTTTAATTATTAGTGCAAAGATCTGGATGTCTAAGTTAGGATTATTATTATTATTATGATTATTATTAGCTACTGGAGCTGCTTATTTATTCAAGCATTTCAACATGCATTTTGCTTTTCTTTGAGTTTACATGTCATTATTGGGCATTTTGCTTGAGAAATAGTTAGTTTTGGGTTTTCAAATGAGGGAGGAAGTTGTTCTGACTTTTCATCGCTAAATTGATTTGAGGTTCAAATACTTGTTTTGTGTAATAAGAAATCACATTTCATGCCTTGGTTTTGTATGCGTTCTTCTTTGAGCTTATGTTGTTGGTTTTGTATTTTGCTTTATATTCTAGCGTGTAGATAGTACTTTTGAGGAGACTAAAATTTGGCTGTGTTTGAATTTGTATTTCTTCCTCTTAGAGCAATCATATCTCATGCCTTGGGCTGAATGCCTTCTTTTTTGACTTAAAATCATGATGCATTATGGTATTAGCTAAAGATAGAAAACTGAGAATTAAAACAAACCATATTGGGGATTGTAGCCATCAACTGAAACACCAAGAGATTTCCAAGGGTTAGCTTAAATTGAAGGGTATGATATTTTGGTTGGTGTGTAAAATAAGTCCGTTAGCTTGAGATATTCAACATTCTACAATATATGGATTATTGAAGCTAATTGTTTTGTCTTCATTTGTAAATCCGTGAAATCCAATGTAAGAAGTGTGTCTTCTTTGAATCTATTTTCTATGGTATGGACATCCAATGCAAGATGCTCTTCAGCTTTATTGCAGCATCTTTACTTGTACATTTGCTTATTTTAAAATTATCTTCCTTGTTTTCATGCTATTGGGCAATTTCTTAATGAAGGTGTACAATGGCTGCCATGTGACAGCAGTCAAAAATAGCTCTGCAATGATAATGTTTACTAGTGTTTTTGGTGTTATTTCATATGGTTGTGTATTTTTTCAAAATAATTTTTTTGCACAATAATGGCTTTTTTTTCAATTCATAAATTATTAGATTGCAAAACCTTTATGGAAACATTCCAAGAAGTTGTTGAATCCCAAAAGAACAAAGAGGAAAACAAAGATGCAACTGCAACTGCTGGACTTCTTGAGAAGCTGAGTGTTGAGGAGAAGAAAACTGAAGACAAAACTGAAGATAAATCTGAAGAGGAGAAGCCTGCTGTAACAGAAGACGAAAAGGATCCAAAGGAGGATGCAGAAAAGAAAGATGAGCCTGCTCCCTCAACTTAAAAGTTAATTTTGGGTCTTATTCAATGCCGCATGCTTATGGCACATATATTGGTGTTAGTTGCCCAATCTCTTCTCCTGCCCATCCATCGGCATAATCACCATGAAAGCTTATTTTGGGGCATTTTATAGGCTGAAACAGTTGGTTTTATGTGTCCTTAAGTTTTTGTGCTTTTCAATATCAGGTCAAGATAAGAGTCGTATTTGTCATGTTTGCATGTTGAGAGTCATGTTTTTGCGGATTGAAAGTTGTCGTCACGGAGTTCGTCTTCTGGGGATTTTTTAAACAATTCGCTGTAACTTGGTTGTAGCTTGATGGATGCAGGAAAATCATAGCATGGATGGTTGTATCTTTTTCATTTTTTCTTTTGTTGGGATGTAATTTATGGAGTTATGTGTCTGGATTTCCTTATTAAGAGAAGATGTGTCCAAGGAATTGCTTTATCAGATTGCTTTGAGAAAGCAGATCTCCATTGAAATGGAATGTCAACTAATGCTCCGTTTGGTCTGTCTAAAATACTTTTCTCATCATATTTTTTTGGCTGAGATCATGTGAAGTGTGTATCTAATAGACATATTTGAATATCATCTGTGCGATATGTAGGAACAACTCATCAGAGGAATCTAGTTCAGCATGGATGTGGGAGCAATTGTCAACCTTTCTGTCCATTAAACCAAATGCAACATCTTCTATGCTTATTGGGCATTCAAACTAGAGAGAAAGGTGGGGAAGCCAAGAGGGAAAAATACGAAAACTAAGTGACCCACCAATTTTTGAAAGGTTTAGAGTAGAATTTGATGTTATGTTTTGGTACCATAGGTGCCATGTTTTGATGTAACACTTGTCTTCCCAATTGGCAGAGCGAAATCGTTTTCTCCATCTGCATGTTGAACCAACTCTTGGACAAATATCTCCTCCTTGATGTGCCAAGAACATCTACACTCGATAACATGGGGTTTACATGAAAATTAAAAAGTTAGCAAGTATGGTAGCAAGTTAGGTTGCTCTGATTTACCGTGTCGAAAACTTCAGTCAGAAAAGCTGCAAAGTTATTATTTACCCAAACAGAATGCAGAACAGAAAGATGTTTATATACTAGAATTTATCATTAACCTTTTTTACAACACATCTAATGTTGTAAAATGAAATTTTCTAAAAGCCTTTTTATAGCCTCCCTAAAAGCTGATGGTAAAACCTAAACCACCTTTTTGTAATCCTTCCAGTGGAGGTAAGGGTCTGTCCGATTTTAAGAGAAACAAAGGGAAAGATTTTTTTTTTTTTTTTTTGATTGATTAGATTAGAGTATTTAAAAATATGATAATTTGATTGATTAAAAAACTTATTCTTCTCCCCTCTTTATGTTTGGGTTAAGAGGAGTCTCTTCATTTGGATAAATAAATAAATTAAAAGAAAAAATAAAGTAAAAAAAATTCTTTTCCTCCCTCTTTTTTAATTCTTTTAAAAACCATATAAATAATTTTTTTCCCCTCTCGTCTCTTTTTCCATTCAAGTGGGGTTGGAGTAAGAATGAAATGGAGTTAATTCTCATTATGCAACTAGAAAAAAAAAACCTCCAATTTGTAATGTAATAAATATAAAATAGAACTTTACATTGAACTATAAAACAAAGATTATTAAATAGAAAGAGAGCTTTGATATAAGAAAAAATTTATTTTTATCAAATAACTTATATAATATAATTTAATATAATCTGAACTATATTATATTTTTTTAATCAAAAACATTGAAAAAAAAAGGAAGAGGGTTTTCAGGCGTTGACCAAAAAACACATTGCTAGTACTAATTGAGAATGTACTTTATATCATTAATGAGGGCATACCCGTAGCCTGAATTAAGGGGGAAACGATCATTATATGCCTAAACACCGACGTGGAATATTAGTAGAATTTAACTATTGAATAAATGGAACAAAAAAAACGCCCGGATTTTTCTGTTCTCTTCAGCCTCACACAATTACCATATAAGAAAGAAAGAGTCTTCTTCTCAAAGAAAAGAAACCCAATTGGCCTCTTCTCTCGCTTCACCACCCTATTTATATATATACTGCCTCCTCATCCTTGACTCCCTCAACAAACCCTTCTTCTTCCTCTTGTTCTTCCTCTTGTTCTTCCTCTTCTTCCTCGTCTTCTTCTTCTTCCTTCAGTGATCCATCTTCAATTGAAAAACCCTTTTTCCTGGTGGTCTTTTTTATTCCCCATGGATACCAAGCTTGATGACGCACCCACACCTTCAAACAGCAACGTCTGCTGTCCCAGCCAGAACGGCACGGCCTCTTTCCTGTGCTCACACGACCCTTGCCCCCCCATCTCCTCGGACGCCACCCTCGGCAGCCACCTTGCCCGTCGGTTAGTTCAGATAGGCGTCAGAGATGTATTCTCTGTTCCCGGGGACTTCAACCTCACCCTCCTGGATCACCTAATCGCAGAGCCTGGCCTGAATAACATTGGGTGCTGCAATGAGCTTAATGCAGGGTACGCGGCTGATGGATACGCAAGGTCTCGTGGGGTGGGTGCATGTGTGGTGACCTTCACCGTTGGTGGGCTCAGCATCATCAACGCCATTGCGGGTGCATACAGTGAGAATCTCCCAGTGATCTGTATCGTGGGAGGGCCAAACACCAACGACTTTGGGACTAACAGGATCCTACACCATACCATCGGTTTGCCTGATTTCAGCCAGGAACTTAGGTGTTTCCAAACCGTTACTTGCTTTCAGGTATATATTTGGTACTTCAACAATGGTTGCGATCTAGGATTATATATTTTTGTTCAATTTTTGCATGATTGTTTTGCTTTTATGATGAATGTACGTATATAAATGAATTTTTAATATCTGTTTTAATTATATAGGCTGTGGTGAATAACATTGAGGATGCACATGAACAAATTGATAAGGCCATTTCCACTGCTCTCAAAGAAAGCAAGCCTGTTTATATCAGCATTAGCTGCAATTTACCGGCCATTCCCCATCCCACCTTTTCCAGAGAACCCATTCCATTTGCCCTCTCACCAAGGTATTTTTTAATTTCACATTATAAGACTAATATCATATATATATATATATATATATATTGTCTTTAGCAGTATTTTGTTCATTTTAAATTTACCAATTAATATTATGTTCACAAAGACCTTAATCATTACAAAGTCTTGAATCACTATATACATAGTATAGGTTATTAAATATAAAAAATTATACATATTCTTAAAATTTAAACTATTTTCATAATTTATATGAAATAGTTATTACCTTATAATTTCAAAATCTTAATTTCGAGTATGTAAGGAACTCAATGTTAATAGCTAATCACACTAAAAAATTTCAAAAACATCTTTCAAAGAATCAAAACAGCAACTGACAAATGTTATATACCAAAACATCTTTCAAAAACATTTTTTTATTTTTTCTTATTAGCCATGAAATGGTTTGTTCAGGCATTCTCATGTACTCATCAGTTCTACAGGGTGAGTAATAAAATGGGCCTAAAGGCCGCTGTGGAAGCAACCGCGGCCTTCTTGAACAAAGCCGTGAAGCCCGTCATGGTGGGAGGCCCAAAGCTCAGGGTTGCAAAGTCCTGTGAGGCCTTCGTCGAATTGGCGGACGCCTCCGGCTATGCACTCGCCGTCATGCCGTCCGCAAAAGGACTGGTACCGGAGCACCACCAACACTTCATCGGTACATACTGGGGTGCCGTGGGCACTTCGTTCTGTGGAGAAATTGTGGAATCCTCCGACGCATACTTATTTGCAGGACCCATCTTCAACGACTACAGCTCCGTTGGCTACTCCCTTCTCCTCAAGAAGGAGAAGGCCATCATCGTTCACCCTGATCGTGTCGTGATTGCCAATGGACCGACGTTTGGCTGTGTTCTGATGAAGGATTTCTTCCAAGCTCTAGCCAAGAAGCTTAACCGGAAGACCACTGCCTATGACAACTATCAACGGATCTTTATCCCCGACGGGGTTCCACCCAAGTGTGACCCTCAAGAGCCATTGAGGGTTAACATCTTGTTTCAGCACATACAGAAGATGCTTTCCAGTAACACGGTAGTGATTGCCGAGACTGGAGATTCCTGGTTCAACTGCCAGAAGTTGAAGTTGCCAGAGGGCTGTGGGTAAGGAATTGGTTAAGGCAATCCATTTTTTGTATTTGTGCATACTTTTACGAACATGATGGAACAAAAGTTGGTATTGTAGGTATGAATTTCAGATGCAGTATGGTTCCATCGGATGGTCGGTCGGAGCAACCCTCGGTTATGCTCAGTCTGTACCGGAGAAGCGTGTGATTGCTTGCATTGGTGATGGAAGCTTCCAGGTTTGATTCGAACCTTTACAGTCCGTTGTTTATAAATTATATCACTAGACGCTTCATTTCTGATATTATGACATATATATGTTGTCCTTGGACAGGTGACTGCACAAGACGTATCGACAATGATTAGATGCGAGCAAAAGAGCATTATCTTCCTTATCAACAATGGTGGCTACACCATTGAAGTTGAGATCCATGATGGTCCTTATAATGTCATCAAGAACTGGAACTATACTGGCTTGGTGGATGCAATTCACAATGGTGAAGGAAACTGTTGGACAACAAAGGTCAGTAGAGTTCCACTTTGATTTTTTTTTTTGTTTTTTTTTTAATTGCAGCCATACATCTACAAATTTCCGTTAAGTTGAGATCTGGATTCTGTTTTTCTTTGTTTCAGGTTAAATGTGAGCAGGAGCTTACCGAAGCAATTGCAACTGCAATGGGAGATAAGAAAGATTGTCTGTGCTTCATTGAAGTGATTGTTCACAAAGATGATACCAGCAAAGAACTGCTGGAATGGGGATCCAGGGTCTCTGCTGCCAACAGCCGCCCACCAAATCCTCAGTAGAGAAGCCACTACTGCCAGGCAGTATCTGAATAAGATATATATTTGATAAAAATTTGCAAGTTTTAGATCATTTTGATGAAATTTTTATTATAAATTTTCAGACTTTTTCATTTTCTATATCAAGTCTCTCACATATATAATCGGGGTCTTGTTACAATCTCTACACTTGAAAATCAACAATCAAAACCAGCATACCTAGTGATCTGGTCAGAACCGGGAATGTGGGGAATGTGAAATTGACAAAACATGAAAGAGTGAATTGTGCAAGCTACCCAACTGTTTCAATAAATGCATTGTCATGGTGTATTCCCTGTGTTTTGGGGCACAAGTAATTTCTCAAGTCTTTGGAGGACCGTCATCATAAGGTTCCTTTCCGCCAGGGAATTCAACTTATGATGTAAAATATAGCTATGGACCCTTCAGAGAGTAAGGCATTCCAAAAAGTAAAGCTGACCTGTTGGCTTTGAAGAGGGGTTTTTATTTATTGGCCTTGTTCCAGCTACAGGGCCCTACTTTTCCTTGTGAACCTTGGAGCAAAAATAAAAAAAAATAAAAAGAAATAAATAAAGAAGAAGAAAAAGAAAAGAGAGGAATTTATTGCTGCACCTCAAGATCAGGTGTTTACCTCTAAACAAGAATAGAGGGTTTGTTTCATAAAAGCAATTATGAAAACGTGTGACTCCTTTTCATGTGATTCAACCACCACCAAAAAACAATACTTACGGGTTTGAATAATTACTCATCATTTTGGTAAGTGATAGAGCATGAACGAACAGAACATTTAAAACAGTGATTAGCTGATCCCAAGCAACAACAGTCCTTAATATAAAGGAAAAGAAAGGAGCAATGATCTGTAAGAATAAACCTTGACAGTCTCAGCTTTTACTAAAAGCAATCCATAGGTTGTGTATTTATGTGTAAAAATAAGTAAAATAGCAAAAGTAAAGAAGAATAGAGATGCAAAGTGTGGTAACAAGAGATCTTATTCTGGTAAGATGTAGTAATCAAAACTTTTTCTTTTTCTTTAACAGTAGCACTGTCAATATCTTACCTGACATGTGCCTTCATTTACCTTTCTTTTCCTGCTCACTTGCTTCACAAGCAAACCGCCTAGCAACTGTGATTTAATACAAGAAAGAAATCTGGCATAGTGTAAAAGTGATGAAACATGGGGGTCTCAAAGATAGACCTAGTGATTCCAATATTCCAGTCAGGAGCCAACACTTGGCTCGTGAAGGTGGGAAGGAAAAGCTTCACAGGAAGGCAGTTGGCAATTTGCAATCAATCATGTCTCAACAGACTGCATATTAAACATGGGTTAAAACGGTTTGCTTGCTTACCTAACTAGGTAGGATGAAAGATATGGGAATGTTACTGGGTTCAGGAAGCTGTTAAAGCCCAGACTGATTGCAGGAATATTAATCAATTATAAAGGGTATCTTATGGTAAACTTGACTAGGTAATTTAATGGTACACCTAACCTTACTTGCTGAGGACAACTATAATGCTGTAGCAGCTTGATCAGGGCCAGAAAGATACAGAAAATCTCACTTAAATATATTAAAGGGAACGTGATAGTAACCATATGTAGTATGACAAAACCGGCAAATGGCGAAAACAACCCTGTCTGGGGCGCCTTTATTCTGTGAAAATTGTCATTAGCTGCACATTAGGGGGCATTTTGTAGAGTATTCACTCCTCAGGCTTAGGTCAGCATCCCTTGCTTCAAAATTAAGAGACATCAATAAGAGGAGAAAGATCAGAAATTCAATGTGATTCTAGCTCTTTTCCTCTCATTCTTACAATGCTTGCTGTAGAGGAGAGGAAAATGCCGCTAGAAGATGGCGAATCCGAAACCACAATTCTCAAGAGAGAACTTGAAGCTTCTCTGGCAAAGAATGATTCACTGGAGAAAGAAAATGGGGAGTTAAGGCAGGAGGTAAGCCGTCTAAAAGCACAAATCAGTTCTCTCAGAGCACATGATAATGAGAGAAAATCTATACTGTGGAAGAAGCTGCAGAACTCTATTGACAGCTGCGATGTCATGGACACGTCTCAACAGAAAGCATCAGATGTTGTCAAGCTCCCAGAGCGGAAATCATCAGATTTTCAAGAATTTGCAGCCAAGAAGGAAAGACCATTGATAGAACCAAAGCCACCACCAAGGCTTGCTGCTGTTATCTTCCCTTCACCCAAGGAGGTAAATGGTAACAAAATTAAAGCACCATCAGCACCAGCTCCACCGCCACCCCCATTGCCATCAAAGTTGTTAGCTGGCCCTAGATCAGTTCGACGTACGCCGGAGGTTGTGCAGCTGTATCGGTCGCTTATGAGAAAAGATGCTCAGATAGAAAATAGAACAAATCCTGCAACGACTCCAACAGTTGCTTTTAATAGGAACATGATAGGAGAAATTGAGAATCGCTCAAGCTATGTTTCAGCTGTAAGTATATATATATGTTTGCTGCTTCATATTCAGTTTTAATTTCATCCAGATTGCAGAAATAAGCATCTTTGCTGACCATATATATGTATATTTGATGAACAGATAAAATCCGATGTAGAAAAACAGAAGGAATTTATCAACTCCTTGATCAAAGAGGTAGAATCCGTAAACTGTAACGAGATTTCTGATGTAGAGGTTTTTGTGAAATGGCTAGATCGGGAATTGTCCTCACTGGTTGATGAAAGAGCAGTTCTGAAGCATTTCCCACAATGGCCAGAGCGGAAAGCAGACGCTCTGCGTGAAGCTGCTTTCAGTTACAGAGAACTAAGAAATCTTGAATCCGAGGTCTCCTCTTTTGTGGCCAACCCAAAAGAGTCTCTAACTCAGTCCCTCAAAAGGATGCAAACATTGCAAGACAGGCAAGTATGTGTAAACTAAAATTTGCCACAACTTGCTACTTTCAATCAGTAGTATAAACTAATTGCATTTATGAAATGTGAAATTTACAGGTTGGAGCAAAGTGTCAGTAAAATAGAAAGAATAAGAGAAAGTACCAGTAAGAGATACAGGGATTTCCACATCCCATCGGAATGGATGCTAGATACAGGAATCATTGGTCAGGTAGATAGCATATAACTAAATATTCACCATTCAACTGATTATAATGAAAAACTCAGCACAAAATATGAGTTAGCACTTAGTTCAATTTGGATATGTCATGCATAGAAAGGAATTGTACAATCCAATCAATTGAACGAACATAAACAGCACAAGCAACGGAACAGAGTAAGTAACGAAAGGCATTACTTGTAGGTTTGATTTCATTAAATGCTGTTACTTATAGCTAGAAAGTGAAAGTGTTAGGGCTATTTTTCTAGTAAATCCCAAAAGTGTTCCATCTGGCAACCCACAACAGCAGAATCAGAAACATAATTGACCATTTTTCTTGACTCAAAATTTCATGACTTGTTATTTTGATGTTGCAGTTGAAATTTAGTTCACTGCGGTTAGCAAAGGAATATATGAAAAGAATAACCAAAGAGCTGAATTCTAATGAATGTTCACAAGAAGAGAACCTCTTGCTTCAGGGAGTTCGATTTGCCTATAGAATACACCAGGTATGTCAAATTCTCCACATTCAAATTTTACATGTTCACTCTTCCTTCTAAGTTTTTACTAGGTTATCAGTCTAGCTGACCATCCAAACATTCAGTTTGCAGGTGGTTTTGATGCTGAGGCCATACGTGCATTTGAAGAGCTAAAAAGAGTCTGCATGATCATTTGTCACAAGCAATAGGTTAACAATAGGCATGTTCAAATGCAATATTAGTAATAGCTAAGTTTTTAGAAGAGATGTATTTGTTGGTTAACTTATATGAAAATATTCAAGACCCGCAGATATGTTGCAAACATGGATGTATGTATAATCAACTAATCAAGCACCAGCAGGTGACACAGATTTAAAAGATCAACAATCAAAATTTCAGTGTCAGTTCTCTCACCATTAACCATGAGAACAGTTAGGCTTTAGAAAGATCATAAAAGGCTATTGGAAACCTATTCAAAACACCCTGCATCTCTATACTCTCAGTGGCATTCAACAGGTCAATGGGAATTGAAATTCCTTCTTCCAAGTTTTAAACTCAATTTTCCATTGCATCCATCCCTCCACAGATATCATCAGTCATCACCAACTGAAACAACCAGAAATCCCTGACCATCAAAAAGCACTGCATTCCCAGTTTGAAGGAAAGATATAACTTAACCCATCAAGCAAACAAGACTAAGACTAATACACATAACAACTGCATCCACTGCATATCATAGCAAAATCATTTAACAAATTAGTAACATAACGCAGATTTAGAAGATCAACAACCGAAATTTCAATTAAAATTTGGCAGAATGCACACAAAAAAGTACGATGACAACATTACTAAACATCCCCTATGCATTCCTATGAAAAAGAAAATGCTTGCAATAACCAAGATAGAATTCAAATCATGTGAAGCCAAACTTCGAGTACGCAGCAGCAGCAACAACTACTTGGATCTCTGCCTCATCTTTCTGCGTTTCCTCTTCAGCCTTCTCATGCGCTTCTTCTTCCACTATGGACAACATTAAAGCAACCATTGTTAATATCTTCAAGCACATCAATGCTTTATAATATCGAGGTTGAAATGAAACAATAGATGATGAAGCTAACCTTAGCTCTCATGGCGACGGCGGCGAAAGCGGGAAATCCGAGAAACGAAGCTGTAGCTAACGGCGACGCTGTTTGGTTTTGCCGGGAGGAAACTCGCGGTACTTATATGAACCCTAGCCGGGGCGGGTGTCGGTAAGGGGATCACACTAACCCGAACCAGCCTAAGACAGGTTGCTGCCCAAGCCCACCCAGCTGCGGCCCAAGCCCAACAGTCAATTTACAAACAAAGTAATGGGTAAAATTGCATGGATTGCAAGTTGCAACTTAACTTGTCAACATTATTAATAAACTCCCAATACTTTCAATTGTTATGATTGGATCCCTAATCTCTTTTAGAAGATCTAATTGCTTGCCAGCTTGCCAGTTTGCCATTGCCACTTCATCTAATTTTACTCCATTCTAGTGTACGTGAGTACTTAACCTACAACAAGGGTCCATAACACTGCAATTTTGTGATGGTGCGTCACAAACAATAAAAAATTACATATTTAAAACAAATTGAAGGATGGGATCAGCATGATAGCTACGTTCTTTATAATAAGGATTCCTACAATATATGAACCATGACATCATTTACTACTACTTTACTACACACACGCTAATTTAACTTTGATTAAGTGTTTATTTCGAAACCCATTTAAAGTACTTGTTAAATGTATTCAATTTCATTAAACCATCTATAATAACAACTCAATTGGAGTTATTTTGTCTCTTATTGTGAAAGAAAAAAAAAACTTGAGTTATTTCATACATAAATATTTGTATAGATATTAAGAACTTTTTTTTGTTTATATATCATAGAGATATTAGAGATTTATTTTCATTTTCATCAGAATCATTATCTCCCCATAATATCTGTGAGATTTGATTAAAATAATTTAAAAAAATGTATAAACTTAACTAATAATGTATTTGAATTAAGGGAATGAGTAAATGGATAAATATTTTTTAGTATAAATTGTATTTTTTTATAGTTTAGGCATTACAAATTTCAAAAAAATTATTAATAAAATTATTATTTATATTTATTAAAAGTAATTTAATAATTTTAATACTTAAATTATAAAAAAAAATTCCGTAGTGAAAAATAAATTTTTCAGAAGCAAAAAGAAATAAAAGGATTTTCTTCCAATTAATTAAATGAAAAAAAAAATGACAAACTCTTCCTTTAGATGGAAAACAAATCTTCCTTTGTCATTCCCAGATTCGCTGCTATAAGACATTTGTGGGGGTGGTTGAAGACGAATCTTATAAAACACCAGTGCCATCCATACAATTTACCAACCCAAATACTATACCAACGGCAAAGTTCACACCGACCCCGAGTCGATATCCCGTCTCCACCCAACTCTGTCTGTATCCCTTACATGTCCGTCTATCAATTTCTTATCTATCCCAACTCTATGACTCTGAAGCAAATAAAATTTTATACCCTGATTCTCAACTATTCAAGTCCAGCATCAATCACCTTGTAAGCAAAAAATCAAACCTTTGAAACAGAAGATATTTGGAGACAAGGATTCAATGGGGACTGGTGTATCCAAGAACGCTGACGGAGGGTCTAATGGAGGGGAGGAGAGAGAGGAGAGCCTGGACCAAGCCGGAGGTCAACTGTACGTGTCGTTGAAGATGGAGAATTACAAGCTAAAGGGAGAGCTTATTCCTCACGTTTATGGCTCTGACCCTCTTGTTGGCTCTTGTGATTCTTCTAAAGCTGTAAGCTTTACTTATTTTGGGCTTGGTTTTTTTCATTCTTTTGAATATCGCAGTAATGGGTTGTTTAATCTGTTTTCATTTTATTATTATTATTATTATCTTATGTTGGTAGCTTTCAATGGAACGCGAATCAGCTTCAATGTGGGAATTGAGCTTTGTAGTTCCTCCGAATCACGGTAATGGTGTTTTCCCTGGAATGTTCTTTTTGCTTTTGAGTTTTGTTTGGTTGCGAGAAAATTGCATAATGATGGTAAGCCTCGTGGGAACTGTTCAATTTAATGGTAGGAAGTAGTATGTACTTCACAGTATTTATACTTTTAAAATCAAGATTGGCTTTAACCTTTCCTCTTTGATGTAATTCAAGTGGGAATAATAAAATAAGTGTATGATGGCTTTATTTTCTTGTGAATATCTTTACAAAATCAGAAACTCCAAGTTAATGAGACTGATATTTGTATTTATGCATGTTTATGTTTCTTTGGAACTCTTTATTTACTTGTATATGTTTTGCATGTTTTCCATTTAATGTAGAAACGCTGGATTTCAAATTCCTTTTGAAGCCAAAGCATGGTAACATGCCCTGTATTGTTGAGGAGGGTCCAAATCGGCTCCTCACAGGGGGTACCTTACAAGGGGACGCAAGGTTGGCACTGTTTAAGTTAGATAGTGAGGAGGTTCTTGAGTATCGGGTGTTCATTAAAGCGGACAGAGTTTCGCCCTTTGATCTTGCAGCTAGTTGGAGAGCTTACCAGGAGAATCTCCGGCCTTCAACTGTCCGTGGAATTCCTGATGTTAGTATTAATTCGGCACCTGCTACAGGTCTAGAGGTATGGCCTACTTGCACTTCAATCTCTTCTTGTTGAGAAATAATAAAGTCTGGATCTTTAAAATGTTTCTTCAATGAATTTTTATTTATTTATTTATTTTAAAGTATTGCAACTGACTACAGCATGGTTAAAATAATGCAAGTACTTATGTAGAAGCTATTAGTCGAGAACAAAACTGCTGATAAAAAAAAACAACAAAGAAAAAGACTACAATTCTGCTTGCAGGACATACTTGCAATGTTTTTTTTTTTTTTTTTCCTTTTTTTTTTTAATTAAATTTCTGGACTTGACAAACTGTGTGCCCTTTATAGAATGGTTCTTTAGCTAGTTTGGAGCTTGATCTTGAGCATTATGTTGTCCCTGCTCCATCAACTTCAGCAAATTCAGGTATGGTTTATGCAGCTAACCTGGCAGAAAATCCACAGTTGTTAACCACTGCCAGGGTTTTAAATGACGGCTCAGGCAGTGTATCTCAGTTTAAAGACAGTGGCATATGCCGTGTATCTGTTGATCAACCTGCAAGTATAAAGGTTTATCTTTGTAACCCACATTTTAAATTTGTAAAACAAATTGTCTTTAGAGCCTTGAAGAGAGGATCACGTACAGGCATCAGTTTGCAGATTTTTTTAAAACATTTTATGTATATTAATATATAGCTTATAAATATTGGCTGTTGGATAATTTGTAAAATCTTTTAGCTTAAATTTCAGAAATTGAATGTTTGATTGAATTGCAAGAGTCTTTAATTATTTGCATAAGTGGATTCAGAAGCAACTATTTGATGTTTAAGACCAAAGACAAGACACTTATGCGCTGCACATAAATGACTGTGTATTGAAATGCAATTTAGAAATTACTTTATTCCTTTGGTTCTTTGTTTGCCTACATCTAAAGCACTATGCTAACTATTTTGTAGGAAATGGAAGTTATCGTACCAGATCCTCAAAATGTGTATTCAGGATCTGGTATGGTTGAATCAAAATCTGTGGGGACCTTTTCATCTTTGCAAAAGGCTGACACTCATAGGGGACTCTTTGTGGATAGGGGTGTTGGATCTCCTAGGCTGGTTAAATCCTCTAGTTCAAGTGCTTTTAGTTTTGATCTTAAACTGGATACAGAAACAAAGGTTTATCCATTTTGTGTTGGTTGAATAATCTAGTTCAAAGTACTTTTTATTTCCACTCTTAAGTAGTTTTCCTTTCTATGTTGCTAATGGTTTTATGTTCTGTTTCTCTTGATTTTTAGAATTCAATTCCAGCAGCTGCTGGAGCTGTTGCTGCTGCAGCTATAGCTGATCGGATGCTTGGACCGAAGGAGGATAGACATTTAGCAATTGTCCTGGTATTTTCCTGCATGAGTAAATTGTTGGTGTTTTTGATAAATTCCATCATTATTCTCATCGCCTTTTTCTTTAAATCTGCATTTAGTTCTGACTTAAAATTTCACAATCTTTAAGTAGCCTGAGAATTGGTGTGTGTAAAATAGCGCTGGATGATATGGGTTCAATCAATTAGTTGAACTAACAAATCTTCTCAACTTGTTCAAGAAAATGGTTCTAACAAGTTGCTTGCCTTTTAGGTTGGTTTACCAGCTCGAGGAAAGACTTTTACTGCAGTTAAACTTACAAGATATCTCCGGTGGTTGGGACATGATACTAAGCACTTTAATGTTGGAAAGGTTGTCCAACTTTACCATGATTCTTATGCTTGCTTCTATAGTTTTTCACAATTGAAAGAAGATTAACAGGACCCCCTTTTTCCATCTTTCTGTTTGAACCAGTATCGACGCCTCAAACATGGAGCTAATCAGGTAAACATGAGTTATCTCATCTTATCAATTACCAGTTGAATATTGCATGCTGGAAGCAGTTTGGCTCTTACCTTTTGGTGGTATTCTTATATCTGCTTCATGAAATCTTTTAGCATTATTCTTTCCATGAATAGGAATGAATTCTATCTATTTATATACTTTGTTAACTTTTCTTTCTTCCTCCCTCCTTTTGCATTTCTATACTGAGTATCATCTTCAATCAATGCTTCCTGTCATTGAGTTTTCTTGTAAGTGGAAAAGAATATTGGTTTATATCTTTCTGAATATTTACTGAGAGATGATGCATTCTTTGTGCAGTCTGCTGACTTTTTCCGTGCTGACAATCCTGAAGGCATAGAAGCACGAAATGAGGTGAGAGATCATTGAAGATTTTTTTTTTTTTCTTATAATTTTATCAGAATGGATTAGGTGTTATTTAATTGCATAATGAGGTCTCTTTAGTTACAGTTGTTTGATCCTTAGTTGTTGCTGGATCTAGGAATCCACTCCTTTCTGCTTTTACCTTGGAAGAAAAATGACTTACAAAGCAGTGAATTAGGCGAAGAAGTTATGAACAATTGAGTGCATGTTTCTAGATGTAAATCATTAATGAAAATATTGACACCAACAAGATTTAATTTTTTGTAATTCTTATAAACTTGGCTTTCATGCCTTTAAATCAAACTCATAAACTGCTTAAGATGACATTGCTAGTGAATTCAGTTTTTATTTGTGTGACTGATAAATGCTATCACCATATTAACCTTCTTCTTTGTACATAGTTTTAATATATCATATGGCACTAGGTAGCGGCCCTGGCAATGGACGATATGATAGCGTGGATGCAAGAAGGTGGCCAGGTAAGTTGTTTTACCGTAGAGACTGTATTCTATCATATCTTGCTGCCTAATATTGATTTATTAAATCTTGTTAAATTGTAGGTTGGAATATTTGATGCAACTAACACTCCCAGGAGTCGTAGGAATATGCTGATGAAAATGGCTGAAGGAAAATGCAAGGTATGATTAACAAAGACAAGCTAATCAGTTCACTTCAAGGCCACTACAACTCACATTCTAGTTAGCAACAATAGGCAGAACACTTTCTTGTTTGATTTGTTTATGGGTTTTTCTAACATGTGCCCTTAGGGCACGAGTTAAGAGTGTAATGATTACATCCTTTATACATTAATTAGTATTGAAAAATACAAAAACTGTTATTAATTTCATCACTAGTGCCACGTGGATTATTTTAATTGAATAGTTGCTTAAATAAATGTCAACTTTTATATTTTCAATACTAATTAATGTGAAAAGGATGCAATAATTGCACCCTTAGGGCACAAGTTAGAAAAACCTTTTGTTTATTTATATTATTTGTCTTTCTTTATTAGAGGCATACCATTAATAAATGTCAATGCAGCTTCCTGAGTGAAGGTATTGATGTGATACGTCTACTTTCTGACTTTCTAGCGTAACTTTCTTGGCTTCTGGCTGTAGATTATTTTTCTGGAAACAATATGCAATGACGAACGAATTATTGAAAGAAACATACGCCTTAAAATTCAACAAAGCCCTGACTATGCAGAAGAGTAAACTCTTTCCTAGAACCATTCATTTTTTATTCTTGGCAAAAAGCTGTCTTTTAGTCATTTATCAATGTGCTTTTGTAGGCCAGATTTTGAGGCTGGATTACGAGACTTTAGAAATCGGTTAGCCAATTATGAAAAGGTATTTGTTGAAAGATGGTTCTAAATGGTCAGCCTTGTTTAGTTTTGGCTTTCAGGTTATATTGATGTTTAATTTTTAGTTAGGTATGTAATTATTCTCATGTTACTAGGTGTATGAGCCGGTAGAAGAAGGGTCTTACGTCAAAATGATCGATATGGTTAGTGGACATGGTGGACAAATACAGGTAATTTTGACTTCCTTGAAAATTATTATGCTACAACTCATTATTCTCTTTTTAGATGTCTTCGTACATCCAATTATGTTTAATTTGATTCAGGTTAACAATATAAGTGGCTATCTTCCTGGACGGATTGTGTTTTTCTTGGTACGTTATATGATGAAAAATGTGCTTTTATCGCACCACTAGTGCATGTCTATTATTATACGGTCCCCTTTCTTGGTTCCTCTTGTTTGTTCTCTTGGGAAGCTTTGAACTTGGATTCTTTAATTTATAGCACTAACTATGAATTTCTGATTACACTAGCAATCTCAAAATTGGATGTTCATGATATATTTTCTCATGAAATGTTCTGCAGGTGAATACTCATCTGACACCACGGCCAATACTACTCACTAGACATGGAGAGAGTTGTGATAACGTTAGAGGCAGAATTGGGAGTGATAGTGTATTGAGGTAATCTTTTCTCTTTATTCTGATGACATCGTAGTTGGTGGTTATATTTTTTATGCAAATGTTGGTTCTTGCACTGTGAAGTCTGAATAAGAAAATTTTGCCTTCTTTAAAACAGTGATGCTGGAGAACTTTATTCAAAGAAACTTGCAAACTTTATTGAGAAGCGACTGAAATCTGAAAGGGCTGCTTCTGTGAGTTGCACTGATCCCTATGTCACTCTTGAGTTGTTTCTTTCTAAAGTCGAATGTCTAGCAAGTTCATATTTGCTTTTTCTGAAAAGCTTCAAATCTTTCCCTGTTTAAAACCCTACATGTGTTACTAAAACAGTGGTGTAATTTGACTGTTAGTTATTAGTGTATTTCTCTTGAAAACATCAAATGCTAATAACTGTCTTTCTAAAACTCTATTAGAAGTACATAGAAGTCCATGCCATCAATCAAGAAAGTAATCTTTGAGATCTAAGATTGGCTGTTATTAGTATTATTATTATTATTATTTTGTGTGTGTGTGTGTTTGATCTAAAGATTTTGCATAAATGAAATATATGGGCATTATAATATTGTCTTCAACACTTAAAAGACATGGATTTGTTTGCACTTTATCTAGCTGAGCGTCAACGTAAAAGTTTTAGACGTTATAAAATTGTCATTATGACTAGTTAATTTCTGTGCTTCTTGTGATCCAGATATGGACTAGCACACTGCAGAGAACAATCATCACAGCAAGTCCGATTGCTGGATTTCCCAAGGTTGGTTTGAACTCACAGCCATAAGAGCATCAATAGTTTGTTTAGTCCCTTCAGTTGAGACTAGAGCCAGTTTTGGTGACTGACTGAATGAAAATAGATATTAGTACATTTACACAGGTTATATTCTTCTTTAATAGATACAATGGCGTGCGCTTGATGAGATTAATGCTGGAGTTTGTGATGGAATGACTTATGAGGAAATAAAGAAGAACATGCCTGAGGAATATGAGTATGTATCCCTGCAACCCCCTCCTTGTTTTGTGTTTTGATCGGAAAATATTGAACCTGAAGAGGTTTTCACATCTTTTGAGTTACTTGTTTGTTATATTCTTGAATAATCATGGCCTATTTCATTCAGGGCTCGTAAGAAGGACAAGCTAAGGTATCGGTATCCTCGTGGAGAATCTTACCTTGATGTCATCCAAAGGTTTGCGATTTATAATTGTGATGATGAATACTAGTCATTTAAGGCCTACCTCGAAACTATTGACCCCTGACTTGTTTGATACAATTGTTTCCACGTTAATGCAGGCTTGAACCTGTAATTATCGAGCTTGAAAGGCAAAGAGCACCAGTCGTCGTGATATCTCACCAGGTTATATCCTCATGGATATAGATCACTGATTTATATAATTTCTGATAATGTGGTTATATTAGATCTTGAATGTTCCTCACCTTTTTATTCTTGCAGGCGGTACTGAGAGCATTATATGCTTACTTTGCTGATAGGCCTTTGAAAGAGATTCCCCACATCGAGGTAATTAGTAATTTAGCAGATAATGAAAAATTGCGTTATGACATGCACGTTAACTGCATATATATGTGGCAAACATTGTGAAAGTAAACTCTGACGTTAGTAGTCCCTGCTAATTTGCAGGTACCGCTTCATACTATCATAGAAATACAAATGGGAGTCACAGGTGTCCAGGAGAAAAGATACAAACTCATGGACTGAACTGATTATACTCCTCAAAATCTGTTCTTCTGTTAATTTATTACCCAAATTCAAGACAAATAATTTTTCTCCGTTCATTTCATTTTAATTCCTTTACCGGACAAAAGCCAGAATTTATTGCTCTACTTGCCCAAATCATAAGTACAAATGTTGGTATATTTCTGCCCTAACTGCTCTTGAAATATCATATCAATGATATCATTATTATCATCTGTACAGACTGTACCTCGAAATGTATGGCTCCTGAAGAAGGCTGGATCCATTACTGTTCTGAATTCAAGGATTGCTTTGCTATTGGGGTTTCCATACCCAAAGTAGTGTATGCTTGGGTCTGCATAATTTCATAGGCACTATAGACTACTAGGGGAAAAGGGTCAGAAAATCACGAGCCTAGCCCTATAAAAATCCCATTACTCGCTCAAAACATGCAGCAAAAAAAGGTGGAAGGCTGGAAGCTAACCAAAAACTAATAGAAAAGTCTTATCAGTGGGGCTTATGGTTTTCGTCTTTAGTAAAAAAAGTCATCTGTTTGGGTAGATTAACAAGGGTCCCCTGAACCCTCAACATCAAATTGACCTCTAACTCAAAACAAACCAAAGGTATATCATATTTTCCACCCCATTCATTAAGGTCCAATTTTCAAAACAAAAAAAGTCATGATAGAATAATTCTTTATATGTTAATCAAATTTAATTGGGTCAAGTCTCAACACAAATAAGCTTTTCGTAAATGTTCTAATCTATATCTCTTAATTCTATATGTATATGGTATTATCTTTAATTTGTAGAAATTAAATTCTTGTAATTCTTTTGATGAATATCTTTCTCTTAAATTAGAGACAAATAGACTTTTTTTCATTTTTGTGAACAGAGACAAGAAGACTCTGATACATCGATACTGGTCCAGCTACTTGATACTAAGACAAAAAGAAAATGGCGTGTAGTAGATTGTTGAAAGGACAAACAATGTCGTTGGTCTTTGGGATCCCTAAACAAACATCACATGAATTCCACAATCCCATCCCATCTTTCCGAGTTGCCGTCGCCTTCACGAGTCCTCTTATTTCATCCTTGGATTATGGGATTCCCTTTTGACTTCATTAGGTTCTGTTTGATTACCATTACACGCAAATGTTTTTTTTTTTTTTTTTAGGCACAAACCCCATTACTTTAATCCCTAAATTTTCTTCAATTCTTAGAAGATTCTTTTTCTTTTCTATTTCTTCTAATTTTAAACATTATTACCTACTTACTACCCATATAATCCCCAATCCCCATCCAACTTCCCATCATCTTCACACTCACAAACAAAAAAATGTCGACTTCTTCTTCACTTGTAGACTCTCCAAAACAGGGCGGCTCCAGCCCCTCCTCCAACCCATTTAGTCACTTCCTCGGCAGCATATCCTCCTACGACGGTAATGTGATGCTGGCGGCCTTGATATCCCTACTTTTAGTCATCCTTTTCGTTCTTCTCCTCCACCTTTACGCCAGATGGTTCTTGGCGCAGGCTCGCCAGAGACGGCGGCCCACCTCCATTTCCGTCACCCACGTCCTCCGCACCGATCGATTCCGCCATTTCCACGCATTCAATTTCGACCTCAGTTTTTCAACTTCCCCCTCGAAGGGTCTCGACTCCGCCGTCATCTCCTCCATTCCGTTGTTCGTTTACAAGTCCGAGGAATCCAAACATGGGTTGGAATGTGTAATTTGTTTGAGTTCCTTTGAGGACAAGGACGTTGGACGACAATTGCCCAAGTGCGGGCATGGTTTTCACGTCCAGTGCATTGATATGTGGCTGCAGTCTCACTCCAACTGCCCCATTTGCAGAGCTCCTCTGGCGACTGAAAGTAGGTTTTCCACTGAAGTAAGTTCCCTGGAGGAGACGACCGGAGAATCGCCAGCTATGGATGCGATTATTAATGAAGAATCGGGTCAGGAGGATGACACTTCATCATCATCACCATCATCTTCTTCCTCTGTGTTGTCGTCTTCATTAGGATGTTCATTAAAGAGAATGCTGAGCAGGAACAGGTCAGAGCACAAGGTTTTTCCGACATCTAATGCTACAGATGAAGTTGATGTGTGAGAGTCATCTTTGTCACTAGTAGTGTTCATACTGTAGAATCATGAATCACAGATTTTGTATAAATTTCTTGGGGATTGAAGTCATCTTTCTCCTAGTTCTCGTTGGACCAAAAACAGAACAATAGCACTCTGTTCAATTTCATCTCTCTTTTTTTTTTTTTTTTTTTTAATATTATTATCTAGCATCAATCAGTTCATTTAAATTTTGACAGGGTTACATTCAATTACCGAAATTGACTCTACTAAATTTAGTATCTTAATTTTTTAGATTTAAGATTAAAGGATCAAACTTTTTTTTGTAATAGTTAAGCAGTGAGAGATAAAATAAACTCCAGGAGGAGGGCAGATGGAGAGAATTGGGTCTCAACTCAATTGGGGTTTGGGTAGGGTTGAGGGTGGCTGAGGTGAAGGCTATGATGGAGGACGGGAGCTCCTGGGTTTGGTACAGTACCCTTCCATGTTTTCTGGTCAATGTTTCTGAGTGCTTAGCGTCAATTATATGAGAGAGAGAGAGAGAGAGAGAGAGAAGGAAGGGCATCATCCAACTGCTATAGTTGTTGACATGTCCTGCATTTACTATATAATATCCTTGCCTTGATCTGCCTCTGGCCCATTTAATTCAACACTTCTCTCCCATGCCAAGAGAAAATAAATAATAATAATAATATTTTAAAAAAAAATTACATTGTTGGAGTTAATATTTTTTTAAGATAATCGGAATGAAAATGCTCTTATAATAATATAAATGGTCATTAAATCA